ATTGTCGCTGATGTTCTCGAAGCAGGGCCCCTCGGTGAGCTGATTTGCGTCGGATCCAAGCATCTAGCGCGTGATATAGTGCGCCATGGTGTTGCAGAGGAGTGAGGTGGAAAAAGGAGTTGCCTCGTGCACCGCGGCAGCTGATTTTGCGGCGGTTTGGATGACGCCACGCTCAACGCTTCTCTGTCAGGCCCGAGGGGCAGTAAGACGCTTGTTGAAGAAGGAAGGTGTGGAACATGGGCGGTAAATCGAACGGCCATCAGCACGTCCATCCGACGGCCAATCAAGCGGCGGATGTTTACAACTTATCCAACGGCCGATGCGTAGCGCGGCCCTTCAAATAAACAGACTTTTTCCTTCAGTTTGTTTTATTCTTAACGCTGAAGTTAGCTGGAAAGCAAACATAATAAATTGCTTCTTTGTCGAGATATACAACTTCTGAATCAAATTACTCTAATGAATTTGATGGCGTGGAGCCGATTTTAGTTGAATGAAGCAACCTCAAACAAACCCTTAATCCCGTCTCAACCAGATCTGAGATCTCGAGACGTAGCCTCTGTGGGAGGCACTAATTAGCAGACCTACTCTGCTCTCTGAGTCTTGATTGAGCCATTGACCACGAACACACACACGGGGAATTCGAGATGATGCAGTCGTTCCTCAACGTCGCCGACGCGGAGCGCATCAAGAACAACGCCGTCAAGACGTGGGTCAGGCAGCTGCGCGACCTGGCCTACGACACCGAAGATTGCATCGAGCTGGTGGTCCACCTGGATCCCAAGCCCAGATGGTGGCGCCGCCTGCTGGTCCTGCCTTGCCTGCCGGCGGTGTCCCTGCCCATGGATGACGCGGCGGCGGAGATAAAGGAGCTCAAGGGCAGGGTGGAGTTCGTGAGCCAGAGGAACATGCGTTACAACCTCATCACCGACTTCGGCGGCGCCAGGTCCGTCGTGCAGCAGCAGCTTGACCGGGCCGCAGGCACGGCCGCGGCGCTCGACATCGCCGTGGAGGCGGCGGCGAACAAAGGGCGTAGCTTGGTGGATCTGACCGAGTTGATCCCCAAAATGGAAGACCGGCCTGAGCTCGGCGTGATCTCGGTGTGGGGGACAGGCGGGGACCTCGGGGTGGCGTCCATCGTCAGGAAGGCCTACGACGACCCTGAAATTTGCAAGAACTTCCATAGTCGTGGCTGGGCCAAGTTGACCCACCCTTTCAATCCGTGGAAGATCCTTCGAAGCTTGCTCATTCAGTTCTGCACAAACACCGCTGCTCCTCAAAAACAGAGAGAAACTCTAGATGTATTGCTGAGGATAGAGAAGACGACGGTGGAAGAAGGCGAGCTAGTCAATCAGTTTGTGACTCATGTGAACACTCACAGGTTCCTTGTCGTCCTGGAAGGCTTGTCAACCATGGCGGAATGGGATGCCCTCCGGATTTTCCTGCCAGACATTGGTAATGGGAGCCAGATCATTGTATCCACGCAGCATTTCGACATCGCGAGCTTGTGTACCGGGCAGCTGCACAAAGTTTCAGAGTTGAGAAAATTCACTCATGACCACTCTGTCTGTGTCTTCTTCAAGGAGGTATGTGATCAAGCACACGGTGACACTTTATTCACTTGTCATTTATTCATTGTCTGAAGAAATGCAATGTTGGAGGTGTAACTCTTGTTGTCTTGTCAGGTTTCAGGAGGTGATGAACCTGGAAATGCAATGCTGGAGGTTGATGACCAAACAGAACTTATCGGGCGTGACACAGAACAGGTGGAGCTTATCGGTCAGATTGATGAGGCTTCCCGTGTGATCTCCGTATGGGGGATCGCTGGTGTGGGGAAATCGGCACTTGTCTGAAGTGCCTACCACAAGTATGTGCATGACCGACCCAACCTTTCAGGGTTAAATCTGAGCTTCATACACGGGTGGGTGAACGTGCCCCATCCCTTCAATCTGAGGGAGTTCTGCCGCAGCTTGCTCCTAAACCTGTCCTCTGAGCCTTCTAAAACCAAAGAGGATGCTGTCGCTGAACTGGCAAACATGACCAATCCAATTGACGTCTGCCGTAGGCTTCTCAGTGATGATCAACAGCAAAATCAGTGCCTTATTGTTGTCGATGACCTGCAGTCCACTGAAGAATGGGACAGAATAAAACAAGCCTTGTCATTTGGTGAAGGTTGTTGTGTCATAATTGTTACAAACGATTCAAGCGTTGCCAAATATTGTTCGGGGCAAGATCAAAAACTCATGCTCAACGTCAAAGGTCTTTGTGATATGGACGCCAATGACCTCTTCAACACGGTACTCGCTGCTCTAAAATAACCATTCCTACAAATTGAACTCATTTTTATTTCATTTTGCCACTTTAAGCATGGACATTATTCAGACACCAACATACCCTAGCTATAGAGCATGTTTGGTTCATAGTCATACTCACACAGTGTCTAACTTTATCACATTCTTATATAGCAGCCTGCTTCTTCTGCCGTAGTCTTATACTAACTTGTGCAAAGTATTGACCACCAACTTCCCTGGACTATATATAGCTTCCAGTTTTAGGAAGAAACATGTGGCAAAGTTTAGTCTTGTTTTTTGGAACGCTGCAAACCAGTGCAGGAATTTATGTGACTGTGTCAGCAATCACAGTGACTGTGTCAACGCCACCAATGGGCCTGGTTACAACTGCAGGTGCTCCAAAGGCTACCAGGGCAACGCCTACCTTGTCAACGGCTGCAGCAGTAAGACCGACGCTTTGCTTCGTACAACTATGATTTTCTTTATTGATCAATGTCCTAATGTAGCGATTATATTATATGAATTTGCACAATACAGACATAGATGAATGTGCGGATCCAGCAAAGTATCCTTGCAAAGGTGTATGCAGGGACACCGAAGGATCTTACCAATGCACCTGTGGTCCAGGTTATGGGAGCGATGACCCAAAAACTCAACGCTGTACTCCAAAGTTCCCACTTGCTGCACAGATTTGCATAGGTAACCTCAGACGACTTACTACTTCTCAATATGTCGCTTTTGCTAACCTTTCTCTCTTACTATATATATAGTCCTATTATGTACTCCCTCCGTTCAAAAATAGATGACTCAACTTTGTACTAAAGTTAGTACAACGTTGAGTCATCTATTTTGGAACGCAGGGAGCATTTTACTATTTTGTACTGTATATACTATAGTTCAGCCCCTTGTAGAATTACATACCTGAGTGGGTGGGTTATCTATATGACGTGAAGGGGTGATGAAAGACTGTTTGAGACTTCAGAAGCAGGTGAAAATATATTTGAAAATTTCGGGGTCCTAGTAATACTATCATGTAGGATCCGATACATGGTATATGTTAAATTTCTGTAACTCGCTATCCTTTTTGTTAATGTTTTCGGCACTTGAAAGCAGGGCGCAAACTCAAATATGAACTTACTATCTTTTGCTGACAGAATAATAATCAGGAATTCTAGTTAATTAAGTTTGCTTATTTGTGCATGTAGGTGCAACAGGTGGTATTCTTCTCATCGCATTCATGGCGTTTGTCATTGTAATTAGAAAAGAGAAGCGGAAGACTAGAGAGTTTTATAAGAAAAATGGTGGTCTTACCTTGGAGAAAGCTAATGTCATTAAGCTTTTCAAAAAGGAGGAGCTCAAGCCAATTTTGAAGAGTAGCAATTTAATTGGAAAAGGTGGCTTTGGTGAAGTTTACAAGGGGGTTGTTGATAGCAAACTCGTCGCAGTAAAGAAACCAATTAGTGGTAATGTGCTGGAGACCAAGCAATTTGCAAATGAAGTCATCATCCAGTCTCAAGTCATCCACAAGAACATCGTCAAGCTTATAGGTTGTTGCCTGGAAGTGGACACCCCCATGCTAGTGTATGAGTTCATTTCCAAAGGAAGCTTGCATGACATTCTTCACGGGGTTGACAACAAGGAGCCTCTCAAGTTGGATGTGCGTCTAAGCATTGTCACAGACGCAGCGCATGGTCTAGCTTATATGCATTCACAAACCCATAGCAAAATCCTGCACGGTGATGTTAAACCAGCAAACATACTGTTGGATGACAACTTTGTGCCGAAGATCTCAGACTTGGGCATATCCAGATTGATTGACAAGGAACACACTGCAAATGTAATTGGTGACATGACGTATATGGATCCAGTATACCTGCAAACAGGCCTATTGACTGAAAAAAGTGATGTCTACAGTTTTGGGGTTGTCATCCTAGAGGTCATTAGCAGGAAGAAGGCCTCTCATTCTGACAATAACAGCTTAGTGACGAGCTTCCTTGAGTGTCACAAAGAAGAGAAGGAAGCAACTGGGTTGTTTGATAAGGAAATTGCAGCAACAGGAGTTTTGGAGCTTCTTGACACTCTGGCAGAAATTGCTGTGGCATGCCTTAACCTTGATGTGGATCAGAGGCCATCAATGACAGATATTGCGGCACGCCTTCGCACGTTAAATACATCCTGTATGCCGTCAGTCGGTTCCCGGAGCTGAGTTTGAACAACATGTATGAACATTTATTGTGCATCACTGTTCTTTCCATTCCAGTGCATCAGATCTTATCGTCACATCCAGTAAGGCAGGCAACTGTCGATGTGTGAACCTTCCCTTACTGTATTTGCTGTTGTAAGAAGCAGGGGAGGCCATCCTTACTCCCAGAAAATTTGTAGTATTGTAGTGAATAATTGTGTGTTTTATGTGACCAAATGTATGGATTGATTAATTATATTCCTGCGTGCTGCTGTTATGATTTGCTCTTGCCCCTGGAAACCTCAACGTTATCATTTTGAAACAGTGTATTATTCCATGACAAATCTGCTAGAATATTCTCAAGTATGCAGTTTTTATTGTTGATATGTTTTCAGTTGCAAGGATTCCTTCTGATTATGCACTAGAGAGTTTTGCAAGGATGTGTCGTGCTGTATACTGATCTGCGGAGAACGAAAGTTTGTTTGTGTTTGCGTTACTACTCCAGAAAAAAGTCCTTTATTTTTCGTGGTTCTATGCTGTAATTCGTTACAAGTTTGGGAAACGTGTGGTAGGAACACCCATGCATTCTGTCACAATGTTGCTGTTGGCACTTTGTTTTCTCCCTTTTTTTTGTAACTTTTTATTCTATTTTTCATCACGGAAATTGTCCCGGTCGGCCTCGTTTAGTTGCCCCTCCGTGCTTGAAATGCTGTCACGCATGAAGGAGTCTTCATCATGTCAGCAGGCTGCAAGAAGCAACTCACTCATGAAGCTTCTTCTGATTCAAACAAAGGCATCTTAACACTTGCTGAGACTTGGTATTGAGCTCGACGCTCAACGCAGAAGGTACAGAGTTTGCGGATAAGCAAGCAGAAAAGGTAACTACTAGGTACGTACCTTTCGCATTTGTGCCAACAAAAATGTTAGTGGGTGATACGCTGGAATTATGCAGTCAAGTAAAAACTGGGAGAAATGCAACCGACGAGCGTGTACTAACTGAAGGCGCAGAGAGTTCAATCCATTTCTGAACTTCAGAAATATGGTGTGTCTTGGAAATATGAACTGAAATACGTACAAGTTTACTGAATCAATGGTGCTTACGATATTTAACAGTCTGATGACCGAGTCGACCAGTTGAACATTCACACAAAAGGGAGTGGTGATCGCTTTGGCGCTTCAATTCCTGAGCCGATCACATTGCCAAACAACTGCGGATTAAACTGAATTCGCCCATTTGCACCTGAAACAAAATGCCATCAGAGAGAGCATGACATCAGCGTGGCAATTCCAGACTTGTTCCCAGCCAAAAATCAGAAAGAAGCTCGCCAGTCACCAGCACTCAACAGCCAATGCTATTTTACCAAAAAAAAAAAACCCCGAGGCAATAATAGATCAGAAAAGCCCGTCTATGCGATTTATGGGTAAGAACAGAACAGGTAACCGTTGATCTTTTCTACAAGTTGTAGCTAGCTGCTCTTCTGATGATCTTATCTACAACAAGTTGCAGCTCTTCCTTTCGATTAATACACGATCATGCCTTTCTTTATTCACCTGTCGCGGTTATTTACGTCTGACTTGCTAATTACGATTATAACATTATCGTTGGCCAATCACTGGTACTCGACTAAAAATGTGGCGCACGCGAAACCCGGCGGCTTCACATGCCAGATGCACCAATCGAGGATGGCATCTAGCAGAGGGGGACACTTGCAATTCTATAACTGGACCTTTCAAATAGGAGCGCAACATGTACAAACATACAGGATTCAGAAACTATAACTGGACCCTTCAAATAGGAGCACAACATGTACAAACATACAGGATTCAGAAACTTTCACCTTAAGCAAAAAAAAAAAAAAAAAAAAACTCAAATTGCATATACAGCAAAACCCGTGGTGGGTTCTCATTAATTGATTCTCAATATTAACAAATCCATACAACAAGACGGACCCGGCGGTCTCCACCTCCAGCGCGCGTCTTTCAAAATGGAAGCTGCCGCTGTCACCCGCCCCCGGTTTTCTTAATCAAAATGGTGCAGCCAGCTAGCAAGCATATGCTTGGTCCATCCAGATCTGGATATACTTATTTCCCTTTGGTCAATGCTTTTGCGTGCGGAGCACCATCGACCGGCTCATGATCTAGAAGGCGAGAAGCAACCCCAGTTCTGCAGGTACTCCGTTCCCTCCTCGCCTCCTTCGATCTCCAGGTCAGTAATTGATATGGGCTCCTAGCTAGCTGCTTTCCTCTCGCCTCCTTTGATCTCAAGCCGGACGAGTACTTAGCTATATCTACATATATGCTGCTTGATTTGCTTTGCGCAGCAACAACAACAGCAACGAAGAAAGGAGAAGCTCGCAGCCAAATACGGGCGCTGGTGATTGCTAGAAAGCTTCTGGCGCGCGCCTACTCTTAAATGGACGGAGACGGGTTCGAGGAGGCGGAGCTAGATGCACTGGAACACGTCGTACGCGATACAAGTGCAGAACCAATGAAGCTGTCGTTGCCGCTTGTGAAGCACATAACAAATGATTTCTCCGGTGAATCTTTAATTGGTGAGGGTGGATTTTCAAAGGTTTACCTGGTACGTACTATTAAACTCCAATATCGTTACCCCATCCATTCGGAAATAACTGACGTGGTTTTAGTTCAAAGTGATTCCTTTCTTGTTAGTAATTACTACTAGTACTGTAACTTCTTATTACTGTGGTCCAATATATAGGGGGTGCTTCCAAGTGGGTCACGTATTGCTGTCAAGAGGATTTTGAGTAGCCATACAATGGACGAACGTCCATTTCGACGTGAAATTGATACCACAAGGAAGGCTGCTCACAAAAACATAGTGCGACTCATCGGCTACTGTAGTCACACAGAAGAAACACCTATCAAATGCGAAGGACAAAGAGGATATATTTACGCAGAGATGAGAGAGAGGTTGATCTGTATAGAGTATGTGCCCAATGGAACCCTCGACACACATATCACTGGTAAGATCCACAACACGGCTGGCCTAGTGCTAACCCTTCTTTATTCCTTGCTTTCTTCCGTATATAGAGCTGTTTTTCTGTTCCAGTTTGGTATTGTAGTTGGTACTAGCTTCTTTTATTAAGGCCTCCTTTGATTCATAGGATAGGAAAATCATACGAAACGCCTCTTTTACTCACTGGCCCATTTATCTTCTATGATGAGATGCAATGCTACTCGCTGTTTTGGGCTTTCGCCAATAATAGGCTTCTCGTTAACAAACAACACAGGGACCGGGGGGACAGCCCACGGTCAGTTGTCTAAGAGGAAAAAAATAGCGAACAACAACCCATATTAAGTGGGCGACACAGCCCCCCTCGTCCCCCCTTAAATCCATCCCTGCCCACCACGTGGCATGAGCTCGCGCCGGGGGCTGGGGGACCTTTAGTCCCGGTTGGTAACACCAACCGGGACTAGAAGAATTTTTTTTGATTTTTTTTTTGATTTTCAAATTTCCGAATTATTTGACAATTTAATCTCTAATCATCCCTCATCACTACTCAAGTGTGGAGCACTCATTCCAAATTGTCTAACTTTCCGGCCGGTCACCCATCCTCTTACTACTTCAGCATGAGCACGCTTAACTTTTGGGTTTTATTCCCCCTAGTTTCCAAGTCTGCACTTGTTATTTTCCTGACAATAATAAGCTGTCAATCCTATTAACCCTTAGGAGTTTAGCTTGAGCATGAAGTCACACGTTTCACCGTTTGAGTTTGAAACTATTATTGTAAAAAACAATAATTATTTATTAACACTAATTTTTTTTGAATAAGTAGTTTGACCATAGTTTGACCAAAATTCAAATAAAATAAAATTTGAGCATAACTTTTTTCTTTCAGAATTTGATGATTCTAAAAGTTTGCAAAACAGCATACAGCGGTCGAAATCGGAACTGGCTTTCCGTGCTGAACATTTCGATATATTATACGTTTTTTCAACATCGTATGCAAAGTTATAGTCGTTTTACTTTTTCATAACACTTTTTTGCAAAACATGTCGAAATTTATGTTTTAAAATTTTGCTAACTAGTAGATGTAGTAACATAACTACATCTCGAAGGATTTTAATTTTTGAAGTTTTT